TTTATACATAACTAAAAGAATCAAGGAAACAGTTAAAATGTTTATTAACGATAGTCCGAAGACTATAAACCACAAACGAAATATAAACCTTATTTCTTTGGCGTACATGGGGCTACTCACTCATTAACCAAAATAACAATAGGCTTGACTCTGAGAAAAAACAGAGAAGCACTGTGCAGTAACATGCTAAATCAGCTTGACTCTGACTTTATGAGAAGTAAGCTTGACTCGGTAGACCCTGGAGAAGCAACGTGACTCGAAAAATCAGAGAAGCTATGATAATGGTAATATTCAGCTTGACATGGAATCTGTGAGAAATCACTTGACTCAGAAGATTGAGCTCTTGCTTAAAGAAGTGATTTGACTCCAGACCAACAAGCAGGCGATATAGAACAAGGTCAGACTAGAGCTTGACTCTAACTTGTAGAGAAGTGCTTGACTCTGAAAGACTCATGAGAAGCCCTTGACTCGTACAAGGAGAAGTCTAGCCTAACTTCAAAATTTTAACTGCACATTCTGATACAACATAGTAAAACTTAATTGATAAATTGTAATAAAACTGTATGAATGTAAGAATACTTAAGAAGGGCGATTGGGGGTAAAAATTCCCCAGAATTTAAAAGCCAAAAGGAAAGAATAGTTTAACTATGAGTGTGTGTGATCATCCATCTCCAACATTATACACAGTGTGATCATCCACCGCCAACATTATACAGTGTGATCATCCATCTCCAACATTATACACTGTGTGATCATCCATCTCCAACATTATACACTGTGTGATCATCCATTTCCAACATTATACACTGTGTAATCATCCATCTCCAACATTATACACAGTGTGATCATCCATCTCCAACATTGTACACTGTGTGATCATCCATCTCCAACATTATACACTGTGTGATCATCCACCTCCAACATTATACACTGCATGATCATCCATCTCCAACATTGTACACTGTGTGATCATCCATCTGCAACATTATACACAGTGATCATCCATCTCCAACATTACACACTGTGTGATCATCCATCTCCAATGTTATACACTGTGTGATCATCCATCTCCAACATTATACACTGTGTGATCATCCACCTCCAACATTATACACTGCATGATCATCCATCTCCAACATTATACACTGTGTGATCATTCACCTCCAACATTATACACACTGATCATCCATCCCCAACACAAATCCCCAACACAATAAATAATGCTGTTGTGTTTGATATTCAGGCTATCTGCGATTGGGCTGTATGGCCAGAAACAGAGGCCAGATTTATGAAGCTTCTGATTGGTTCAAAGAAGCATTGCAGATCAACCAGGTACAGTCTTTATCAAATCCTCTATTTCTGCTTTACTGTCAGTTTTTCATATTTTTTTGTGAAAATATGAACCAGCTTGTTTCTTACTCCCAAATATTGGTAATTTAAATAGCACATATGTGTAGATAAATACCATTTATTCCTTCTCTGTAACTGATTTTTTTAAAACACAATTAATTAAAAATTAGACCAAAACAAGGCTACATCACTCAAAAGCTGTCTGAGTATTAATCCTAGGTATTATTAGAAACAACTCTTCTCCATCTGTGAAACTTATTTAGGATTAACCAAGTTAAAATAAGCCTGCTTATTGTCAATACGCTCCTACTTGATCAGGATCACCCAGATGCTTGGTCATTGATTGGAAATTTGCACTTGACCAAGCAGGAGTGGGGACCTGGACAGAAGAAGTTTGAACGCATCATCAGTCGGCCCAACACCAAGAATGACGCCTACTCACTGATTGCCCTTGGCAACGTGTGGCTGTCATCACTCCATCAGCCAATGAGAGACAAGGACAAGGTTAGTGAATTAAGATGATTGTTTGTACTGTCTGTCAAAAACTTAATCTTTGGGACATTTTAAGATACATTATGTAAATATCCACAGCCATTAAAGCTCATTTAGGCTTAACATTTCTGAGAAATAACGATAACATATTGTAACTGTTCAAATCAAAGTGGAATAACAAAACAAACATGTAACCGTCAAAATCCATTATGGCCACATGAGTGACCTATTGACCTTAAACAACATTACTATATCTAACCATGTTGTAGTGATTTGCTGATCTGAGTGAACTATTGACCTTTAAGGATCCCAGTACCACTGCCAAACACTTAACTGATTTTTCTTGCATGACTATAGCTTTGAGAAATCGTTTCTGAAAAATTTATACCTTGCAGGACTTTATCAAAAGAAAAATAATTAAAAGTGAAATTGATATAATCATCTGCATTTTTCTGAGAGTGAAAATACAGCAGGGCTAGGCGAGAATTTGAACCCTGGGCCTCAGGTTGTTTACTGTTGCTCTATCAGACTGAGCTACCACGTCAAAGAAAGGGTCCTGGCCCAACTTTGCTACAGTTGTTACTGTATATACAAAAAACAAGATTGCAGTGGGACAAGAATCCTTAATACAAATTGTTGTTGTGTCTACCCATGCTGAAGTAGTACACTGACCTGAGTGACCTATTGACCTTGTAGGAGAAGCGTCACCAGGACAGGGCCCTGGCTATGTACAAACAAGTGCTGAGGAATGATGATCACAACATCTGGGCAGCAAATGGCATAGGTAGGGCACTTTTCTTTATTTTTATGTTAGCAAATTATTCTTGATGGGTTTTGCACCAACAACTCGTTTACCATGCAGGTACACTAGGATGCATTAGATATTGCATCACTTTCAGAATTTTTAGCTCACCTGGCCCAAATGGCCATGTGAGCTTATGCCGTAATGCGGCGTCTGTCGTCCGTCCGTCAACTTTTTCTTTTAAATGACTTCTTTTGAAGAACTGGAGGACCTAGGGTCATGATATTTGGCCAGTAGGTACCTGGGAAGGAGTGCTATAAAATTTTCTCATTAAAATGACCTTGACATAGTTTCAAGGTCACAGGGGTCAAATATGTTAAAACCTTCAAACAACAATATCCTAAGAACCATTTGGACTATAGTCATAATACTTGAGTATGTTATATATGTAGACCAGCAGTGCAAATCTTTTTCTTATTCACAGTAATGAGGTTAAAGGTCAACTTTAAGTGCTAGTTGGGGGTCAAAAGACAACATTGATTAAAAGCTTTAACAATCTTCTCAAGTTCCATAAGGCCCAGGGTCATGATATTTGGCCAGTAGGTACCAGGGATAGAGTGCTATAAAGTTTCCTCTTTAAAATGACCTTGACCTACTTTCTGGGCCTCTTGTTTCAACATGGTCCCAAGTTCAAGACCAAAGTCTCCATTATAGTTATTGATATAAGATTTGTTTCTGAATTTGAAACTTTCAGTTAAGTCTGATTATATCAACCACAAATGCTATATAGACTTGACACACCACTTTTAGAACCTCTGACTTGGGACCATATTTGCAGGATGGAAGATTTTCTTACTACTCAGAAAACCTGATATGCTTTGCATGTCAAATAAAACAATATTAAGATACTTTTGATAGTTGAATGTTATTTTAGCGCATCACTGCTTTTCAAATAATATGTTTGAAATCTGTAAAATCACTTGATGAATAAATGTATGTGTGAAAAGCACAAAAATATCATTACCATTGAAATAGGTATCTTGACATTTTCAATACATGGAATTCATATATGAATAAAAAAAAAAAAAATCATATCAAAGTTCAAGGTTTAATATTTATACACAAAATAAAGTAACAATGTTGTTTGACACAAATGTGGTTATTTTTGGTGTTTGCACAATTTGTTGTAATCAACACTGTTTATAGAATGATATGTACATAGCACTTTTTTTCTTGATAGCCTATATACACTTGGTAATATAGTCTGAGCTCTATACTAGTCTTAGGTAGATTTCCATGGTATTGGTTGTATAGTCTTTTAAATTGGCAACATTCCAATGAATAACTAGTCACATATTGTAGATCACAAATGTTAGAGTCCTATAGTTTTGGAATTGTCCCAGAAGGTTTTACAGAGCAGCCCTCTGACATTTCTCTTAGTCTTGGAAATCTCGGTGAGTTTACAGAGCAGCCATCTGACGTTTCTCTTAGCCTTTGACATTTCGGTGAGTTTACAGAGCAGCCCTCTGACATTTCTCTTAGCCTTGGAAATCTCGGTGAGTTTACAGAGCAGCCCTCTGACATTTCTCTTAGCCTTGGAAATCTTGGTGAGTTTACAGAGCAGCCCTCTGCATTTCTCTTAACCTTGGAAATCTCGGTGAGTTTACAGAGCAGCCATCTGACGTTTCCTCTTAGCCTTGGAAATCTCGGTGAGTTTACAGAACAGCCATCTGACATTTCCTCTTAGCCTTGGACATCTCGGTGAGTTTACAGAACAGCCATCTGACGTTTCCTCTTAGCCTTGGACATCTCTGTGAGTTTACAGAACAGCCATCTGACGTTTCCTCTTAGCCTTGGCAATCTCTGTGAGTGTGCGAGTATTGTTGGACCTGTTTCTCTTGTTGGCGAACCACTTTTTCACCTGCTCACAGCTGATTCTACCTCTTTCTGCGAGTAACTCCACAGTGGATCCGGTCGGGTAGGGATGCTCTAAATGATCTTTATACCAATCCTCCATCACTTTCACTGACTTCTTAGACAAGAGGGGGCGTGGCTTAATTACCCGACTGGAACATGGGCTGGTGGATGACTCCTGTAACAAAGCCAGACTCTGTTCTACTCGTGTCATGATCTGATGGAGTTGGGAATCATAGTGAAAGTTGAGTGACCGCTGGTAGTCGGGGGCGTACTTCTGTGTATGTAGTGAGCGGAAACGTTCTGTCTCCACCAGAGCAGCCTGGTAACGGTAGAAGCTAGACAACTGGTTAACATCCTCTGGAAACCTGTCTGTCAGTTGGTTGAAACTTTCCTGTAGATCCTGCTCACGAGTAAAAACATTGGATTGTGGTTGGGTCGTCATAGTTGCTAGCAGCGACTGTGGCAGCATGTCTTCACGACAGTCGTTGACCAGGATGGCCTGAAGGTCACTGAAGAATGGATTGTTGGCGAGGGGACTGTCTGGTGGTGGACTGCCCAGCAGTCCGGTCAGTGAGTCATTAAAGCGACTGTCTATACCAGGACTGTTGTAGACTGGCTCACACGAGGTCAGCGACAGATTCTTCAGGTTTCTCGCTGGAGTTGTCTGCTCATTAAAGTTAACAGTTTCACCAGGGGGCACTTCAGTAGGTGATGACCCGACACTCGTAGCAAAGTTTTCAATGTCAAAGTTTAAATCACTAGCACTATTGTCATTAAATGATCCCCACACACATGATTCTGTTGGACTTCCATAATCTGTCAGTGTGGCTGAACACTCATACTCTGATAAAGACTCACGGTCCGGCAGCTCATCTTTTAATGTCTGTGAGATAACCTCATCCAGAAGGTCATGAGGTGACATGTTGAAGGTCACAGGAAGGTCAAGAGCATCTGGAGATAATGGCTGATTGAGGGATTCAATGAAAGCATCCATGATGCAGCACTAGTTCTGAGGCACTGGTCACTCAAAATGTCCAAGTTCGACTCAAAATGTCTGAGGTTCAAGATGCAAAGGTCGAAGTTAACTCAAGCAGTGTCAGAAGAAAGTGACATGACCCTGATGAAAATGTCAGGGTTTTTGTATTGAGTGGCCGGAGAGGTGAATACTTTTCACTTTCCAAATGACATTATATGATTGGCTAAGTTAAAAACAGCTGATTTCTCATGTACAGAAATCCTTCTTAGGTCAGGTGTATGGTTTCCCTGCCTTGACCCCTCCCCCCAAGCTGACCCCCTGCTAGGCACCTGATTGGCCCTGGGATGAGTTGATGGGTGTGGCCTAGTGGTCACACTTGTCTGATCTGGATCAGGTGATCATTAATAACATGTGTTTTGATTAGAGCTACTGAGTGTAATCACCATGGTGTGACACTCTGATGTTGTTTTAATGTAAACAAGTAACACCAACAGTGTATATTCTGAAATAAATGTCAATGTTGACACTTTTAGTTTTACAATTATTATAAAATCACATTTAGAAAGACAGATTTTTATTTTTATTTATTTTCAGGTTTTTTTTACAATGCAAAGTTAATGTTCATGTGTATCACATATGTAATCTGTAATAGCAGAAAATCTCACACACACTTATCTTTCTTCCACTTTCACACAAACAATTATTGATTGTCATTTTAATACAATTTTCAAAGGTTTACATTTACATTGCATTTGTATAAGGAAAGCAGAAAGAAAAGGTGAATAAAAAAAAGGCAGAAACAAATCAGTTTTATGAAAATTATGTATTACTGACTATATAAGAAATTGTGTTGAATAATTGTAACTTAACAGATGATATTTAAGCTAAAAGATGTACTCTTAACATTTCCCCCGAAAGTGCCTTTTGTAAAGGACAGCAGTTATAAAAATATAATTTTACTTAAAAAAAAGACTGCATTGCTACATGATTGCATGAGAGCCTTAATAAATAAAAACTTTTAGATCAATTCTGTAAGGCTCATAAGATTGAGGGAAAATTTAGGTCAAGTGTCCCAAAACAGTATGGGTGACATAACAGGCCGTAGGTAGGACTAATACTTGTTGTCATTTCTCTTTGATAGTAAGATATATAAATCTGAAAAAAGTATCTGCAACATGATGATTTGAAAAGTACATGAATAACTTGTGAGTGGATTGTCATAAGTAACTTACATAACATAGGGTACTCCATATTTGCTTCAATATCAGATTTCCAGCCGAATTAGATACAAATGTACTTGCATTGAACCAGAACTACTACTGTAAGTCATTGTATTTTTGTGAGAGATTTAATTCTTCGTTCATTCTCAAAGAGACTTGTACACAAATTTAACACTTGCATGCATGTTTATTCCAGAGCGTTTACATCATTGCAAGTTGAAGTATATGTGAATACAAATTACAGGTGAAGTGTGTATAATAGGGTTTATGCAGAAGTGTAGTAATTTGTAGTATTAGTTTTAGCTGCTTTCGTTCTACCAATGACAATTGTTTTATTCTTATAAACAATATAGTGTAGAGAATACCATATAACCTGATCTTCATGTCAAATGTTTACCTGTCTTTATAAATAATAATTGCTATGTACTTATTTTTCAAAAATATTTTTAATTAAAAATCCTATTTAATTAAGGTAAAGTTGGAATTAAAAGGTGATGTATGATATTTGTAAGCTTATTAAAAGTGAAACTTGTTAGAAACAATGTTAGAAATAAAATGGTCTCAAACTAGACTTCAAACTGCTTTGTTAATTTAAAAGACCTTAAAATTACTTTTGATACAGTATGGCTACTGTATGAATAATAGAATAAAGTGATATATAAAAACAATCCTATCATAAGCAATTAACTCTTGAGTTTGCAAAATTATGAAGACAAAAATTTGTTTTGAGATTGAGAAATGGTTTAGTGGCACTGTAGGTATTGAAGTCTGGAGAAATTCATATAGTGAGTTGCATAAAAGTTTTTACTGTATACACACGAGGACAAATATTTAATTTGTTCAATTTGCAAATCTATGAAAACAATGAGGCAGGATTTTTTTCTGGATTGAATAATTGGTTCTGAGTACTGGTACAATATATGTGAGCTAGTGACTGGCTTCATCTGTATACACACGGCCACACCCACACATCTAAGTTAGGCCAGACCCTGATTACTGCTTGGCCTGTTTAATTAGAGCCATTATCTGCGTCCCTCACGATCATTATTACCTGGTATATGGGACAAAAGAGAGCCAGCAACCCATCCCTGAGTTGGTGAAAGTGTTTGCTTAAGTAATTACAACTCATTTCTGATCACTATGATGTAAATGTAAGAGTGTGGGAGGATTATCAATATTTTAATTGAATTACTAAAGCCAGACAAACCTGATATTAATGAAATGTTATTAAATATTTTAGAATAAATGTTTTTTATTTCATTGATATATTTTTTTAATATTTATTTTACATTAATTTGATCTAATTTTTTAATATTTATTTTACATTAATTTGACAAAATTTGTTTATTTTTCCAGAGGAGATTTTTGATAGCACTTTAATTGGTAGATTTTATAAAATGATTTATTGATTTGGAAATACTGTAATACATCAAATATACTAGTAATCATGAAAAAAACTCCAGAATATTTATTATTGATTACTTATTTGGGGTTGTGGTGATTTCCCCCCTTCTGTTAGTTTGGTCTGGTAGTTGATCAACTATATGAGATTTGAGGAGAAGACTGATATAGACTTAGACTGTTCTCTTATCCTTTTGTTTATACCAGTTCTTCATTCTCAACTCTGTACTGTTATACTGTATTTATTACTGTATTTACAATAAAGTGTTAGGAAATTGAAACTGATTTAATTGTTGGGAATAACAAGATATAAATATTTTCATTTTTTTTGCAGTAGAAAAAGCGAGAGTCAGTCATCTGAAAATGTTTATACCATAGGAGATATGTTCTCAAAACTTAACATATTAGTGCAAACTGTCAATGTAGGTTAAGAAAATCCTGCATCATTATTTGGAAAAGTGCATCAACCTACTGAAACATACACATCAGTGATATATGATTGATGTAAAGGTGCTAGATTTTTCTGAATCACTGTAAACACATAGGTATATCTCCGTGCTGGACTTGTATTCTATATATATCATGTGTGTGTGTATGCGTGTGTACATACATCACTTGTGTCCGTGCCTGTTTGCGTGTGTATGTGTGTGCATATACCAAATTGTCAACTGTACAACTGCATAAACTTTGTACCAACTGTAGTTCATTTATTTCGTGAAATATGTCCTGTATCTTGTAAGCCAAAAAGCTTACGGAATAAATAAAATGAAGTGGATAACAGATGTAATTAAATTAGAATCACATAGCTTGGGGAAAATCAATCATGGAACTAAAAAACAAGAAAAGTATACAAACCAGTAATAAAAACATATACTATATGTATATATAAAAAGTATGATGATGAAATGGCTCTGTGCTAAGCACCAAATATTCAGACATGAAAAATAAGAATTGGTTAATATGTATGCTAAATAACAATCGCACATATACTCATAAACTGATTTATCTAATTCATTTATACATGTACAATGCATATGTAAATAAGATATTGTAAAAGTCACACTTTACTACAGTATCAAGAAATGTCTGGGTTTGGCATAGAGGGTTGTTTTATAAACAAATATGCTATCTCTGGTAATATATATAATTGGTTTGAAAATTGACTAACTAATAGATTGCAAAAAGTAATATTTGAAGGTTACAGCTCTAGTCTGATATATATTACAGCTGGTGTTCCCCAAGGTTCAGTTTTAGGTCCTTTTTTTTCTTTTATTCATAAATGATATTACTTGTGAAGTTACTTCTAATATAAACCTTTTTGCATATGATACATTTCTTTATTTAATTGTAGATAATGATCCACTATCAGCTAGTGAAATTTTAAATGATGATCTTGAATCAATTAATAATTGGGCTAATGAATGGCCAATTAATTTTAAGTCTAAAAAATCAGTAGGGTTTACCGTTTCCAAAAGAATTATTCACCATCCACCTATCACTTTTAATAATCACATCATAACCAACAGTGAATCTCATAAGCACTTAGGTCTAAATTTTAATTAATACAGAACATGGAACAGATCAATCTGATTTGTGAAAAAGCATATGCAAGATTGAATATTCTCCGAATGTTAAAATTTAAAGTTGAATCTTTTATTAGACCTATATTAGAAAAACTCTAGAAATAATGTATAAATCTTTTTGATAGACCTATATTAGAATAGGCTGGCATTGTTTGGAATAACTTTCTTTAAATCAAATTGATGAAATTGAAAATATTCAATTAGAAGCTATAAGACTAATTACTAGCCTGCGTAAAAGTACATCACATAACAAACTATATAATGAAACGAAATTTGACAAATTACAAGTTAGAAGAAGCAATCACAGACTCATACTGATGTACAAAACTATTAACCATATTATCTCCTTATTATCTTTATGGAATAATTGAACCATTTATTAATTCAAATCAAAATGATACTTATAATTTAGGAGATCGAAGATACTTTAAAATACCATTTGCTAGAAGAAATATCTTTCAAAATAGTCTTTTTCTCTTGCACAATGAATAAATGGAATCGGTTAAATAAGGAAATAACTGAATCACTCTCTTTGTCTACTTTTAAACGTAAATCAAATAAGATGTCATCCTCCTACGATGATGATGTAATTGATATATATAAAATTGCCAGTCTCGTAAACTTAATGTTATTTTATGCCAGCTTAGAAATGGGGTAAATAATCTTAATTATGATAAGCGTTGTACATCCTTAGTACTGAAAGGCTGATGTAGTTATTACTTTAGTAAGTCTGACTCTTCGTACATTTTACAACATTTTCTAATTTCACCTACGTAACCTCCTATTGTTAATCCAGTTTTACCTATTAATGTACTTTATGCGCATAATTTATTACTTACATTTGAGTGTTTACACTGACAGTCGTTATATTTGTATGTGTGTCTATTTCGAGTTGTGAGAGA